AAAACTAAAGTTCATTTTTCAAAATTCAAAATGGAGAATTCAAAATGGCGGACTAAAACAATGCAATTTTGAAACAAAAATTTTTTTGTTCAAACTGTGGTATTTTAATGTTTTTGAGGTCGCTGAAGCCAAGTATGATGTTAAAATTTAAAAATTCAAAATGACGGACCCAAAATGGCGGACGAAAAATTTTTCAATGTGCTTAGATTTCAAGGAGACTTGGTACTTTAACGTTTTCGAGGTCGCTAAATTCATATATGATGAAAAAATTTAAAAATGCAAAATGGCGGATCCAATATGGCGGACAAAATATTTATAAAATTCTTAGATTTCAACGAAGCGTAGTGTTTTATTATTTTTCTAGTCACAGACTTCAAATATAATGCTCAATATGAATATATAAGTCGCCGGAAAGTAAAACCTCACATAAAATTCTGACTCCCATTGAATTAACATGTCCGTCAGAATTTTATGTGTGGTTTTACTTTCCGGCGACTCATATAAAAAAAAATTTATAATCACTACGCTTCGTTGAAATCTAAAAATTTTATAAATATTTTGTCCGACATATTACTCTCTAAATCTGAATCAGCGAAATCCCACTTATTCTCAGTGAATAGTCACTGATTGAAATAGCTATAAGTATACCACTGGGAATCAGTGGAATTTCACTGTTTCAATCAGCGAGGAATTATTTCACTGATTTAAACAGTGAAAGTTCGCTGATCTAATTAGTAGTTTTTCACTGATTTTTCAGTGAATTAAATATTTCTTAGTTTTTTCTGTGTCAAAAGATAAAATATTAGTTTAATGAAAAATATTATATTTATTGAAACACGTACATCAATTAGGAAAACTGAACATTATTTAGTAATTATTCGTAAATTAATATTAGGAAAACGTAAGTTTAAAACGTAGAATAAAAACACAAAAATATAAAAAATGAAACATCCATTGAAAATAAATAGAAAACACATTAATCGAAGTTTCAATGACTTGTTTGATAAACTATAAAACTAATTTGACGATTCTTCGTTGATAACGTTGCACACATTGATGTGCATCGATGTAACTACACTGCGAGTTCCCGTGTGAAGATCATAAACATAATTTTCAATGAAATTATAGAAAATTTCAAATTTTAGAAGGTTTGTGTAAAAAGATTTAACTAAAATCTTTTTACACAAACCTTCTAAAATTTGAAATATTTCCTCTGGAATATTATTGTCCCTTAACTTGGTGTACAATTCTAAGGGCAATGTAGATATATTCGATAAATCCATCTTATTGAAATTATTGCTGATTCCGAGTAAAAGTGTAATCTACAAAATACAAAGCAGAAGTAATTAAAGGGAAAATCAATTGTCGGTATAGTTAAAATTATGCGCAAAAATAGTGATAAATATTAATATCGCATGAAAAATATAAGTGAGGTTATGTTTCGTGTCAAACGAAAACGAATTAGTTTTCAAATGATAATTTGAACAATTTATGAATTTTATATAATCGAAACCATCTATAAAACAAAGAAAATTTAATTAATTAATTATAATCATTACGTATTTTGTTAAATTTATTATAAAATAGTTAAAAATAACACTGTATAAACCAAAGTAATCTTTGATCAAATTTTGATATAAATTCAACTACTGTATATGAACTTATGATCCAAAAGGTAAATAATAGTGTATAATATGTACTTACTAAGTATTTAAACAATTTTTTCACTTAAAAAACGCAAATGTTGATATAACTTTTAACCTAACTTGCCCAGATTTCTCTTGCACCAAATGACGCTCTGAAATTTACTGCGTCGGCGCAGAAGCAACTTCAGTAAAGTCACTGTTTCGTCAGTGATAGTCGCTGATTCTCAGTGAAAATCTTTGTCACTGAGAAAATCAGCGAAATTTTCACTGATTCAGATTTAGAGAGTAGATCCGCCATTTTGCATTTTTAAATTTTGTCATCATATTTGAATTCAGCGACCTCGAAAACGTTAAAGTACCAAGTCTCATTGAAATCTAAGCACTTTTTAAATTTTCTGTTCGCCATATTGGATTCGCCATTTTGAATTTTCAAATTTTACCATCATATTTAAATTCAGCGACCTCAAAAACGTTAAAGTACCACAGTTTGAACAAAAAAATTTTTGTTTCAAAATTGCATTGTTTTAGTCCGCCATTTTGAATTCTCCATTTTGAATTTTGAAAAATGAACTTTAGTTTTGTATTCAGTGATCCTAAATGCTTACAAAAAAGTTGTTTTATTAAGTTTTACCATGATATACCGGTTTGTATACTTCAATTTACCATTTTTTCCTAAAAAATGCTAACTTCACTCGACACCCAGGAGCTCAAAAAAATAAATCAAGGGTTCCCTTTAATTTTCCTCTATTCTACATTTATTTAGCTTTATTTTGGTCCAAGGTTCATTCAATTTTGTCAATGTGTTCAAGAGACATTAGGTTTTGAACATGAAATTGCAAAAATAACACACCGTGCGCTCTTGTTCTGGTCGACCCACTAAAAACCACACCCTTTTTGAGACTTAAACTCCACTGGCGGAACTGCTATTAGCTTTATACATCGCCAGTGGAAGATACATCGCCAATGGAAGAATATAGGTATATATGAGTCATTCCATATCAAGTGTAACCAACCATTGTACTATCCATGTTGAAAACATAGGTTGGCTAACCTAACTTAAAATTGTCAAAAGCATTCAAAAGCATTTAACACACTTGACACGATATCGATATCTCAAAATCATCTGAACCAATTGTTCTGAAATTTGGCACAGTTCTTTTTGACTAAATTCCCCAGGTAACTACGAGAGCTTTTTTTAATAATTATTAATTATACAGTAAAAAATTGATCGATTTTTTTAGCGAAAATCGAGTTTTTGGGTTTCAAGTGCTGCGAAAAGTAAAAAAAAACTCTCGTAGTTACCTCGAAAAACATCTCCTTTAACAAAAAAAAATTTTTTATTCAGATGATTCTGTTGCGAGTTACGTTGAACACCGCAAATCCATTTTTTTACGAGGCGCACGAAGAGATTTACTGCCACTCGTACAATTTGCAATATTTTTCAATCAGAATTTAGGAAAATATACTTCAAATATTGTATTAATATGTGGAAATTAAGTTAATAAAGTAACACAGTTTATATCACCAAAAAAAATTATTAAAAAAGTACCTGTTTTACACCGAATTAACCATACCCCCTCCCTTAAGTAATATGCATAAAAATGTCGCCTAAATATGGGACTTTTTAAAATCAATGCACTTTCTACTGTTCCTTCCATAATAATTGTACTCATAAAAATTTACAAATTTTATAGCAAAATTATCAACTTCTTCCTTATACAAAGAACTTTACTGAACTTAAAAATATTAATATTTGTAAATGTTATAAACATTTTTGTTCAACTTTGCTATATCTATTGCTAATAAATATATCGTAGGGATTCACACTTCAAACTGTTTAGTAAAAATTCTAAGGAATGTAAGTTAACAAGTTGTTAATTATCATTTTCTGAATAAAAGAAAAAAGCGATTTTCTACGCTGCATATTGCATAAAAAACTTCTAAAAAAATTAGTTCCACTTGCTTCTCTATGTCTTTAAAGGTCCAAAAAAGCTTGGCCTTAAAATTCACTATAAGAACCTTTTCGATCGGTGAGTAGCACTTGTCATTGTTACCCTTTTTTTGTTACGTTTTTTTCTTCAACACCTCATTAAAAACTGAAAATTTCTTAAACGAACTACCACCGAAATATGTATTGAATCAAAGTAAAAATTATCAAGTTTTGTTTAATTTTTTTAACTGTACATTTTAAAATTTAGCGCAAAACTGTATCTTTATTATCAGTTGATATATCAACGTTAAATAAAAATGTTAATAACATTAACAAATATTAATATTTTTAAGTTGAGTAAATTACTTTGTATAGGAAAGAAGTTGACAATTTTTCTGAAGTAAATTTTTATGAGTATAATTTTCATGGAAGGAACAGGTAAAAGTGCATTGATTTTAAAAAGTCAAATTTTTAGGCTACATTTTTATGCATATTACTTAATAAATTAGAAGAAAAAATTTTTCCTTACATGCGTTACATATCAATTTACGCGCATATAAACAAGACTTATTTCATTGTTTACCTTAAATTACTACGATTTTTTTTTCTTGAGTTATCATCCTGCAAAGTTGACCAATTCTGAGGGGCAAAGACTTTTTGTGCCGACATAATGTGCAAGGTACAGCCCGATCCGATCACGTTTTTTTCACTTAGTACGCTACAAGAATCTTATTCCATATTTAAAAGCATATATTGTGTGCGCGAAGAGTACGCTTGGTAGGCGCGTGACTTGGCCCCTTACATTGTACCCCGTTTTTTAATATGTTACCGAAGTTTCCAACCAAAATAATAGTTTCCTTAGCATTTCTAAAAATTTTGAATTTTTTGAAAATTTTTTTACCATTTAAAAGAGCATGAAAAAACATTTCGAAAACATATAGGTCTAAATTTTTTCATCTTAGTGTTTAAAAGTAATAACAAAAAAGGGTCAAATTTTTAATTTTTAGAAAAAATTTTTGCACCCTTCGAAAGAGCAGGAAAAATCCTTTCGAAAACATATATGTCAATTTTTTTTCATCTTTCTGTTTAAAAGTTATAAGTCTTCAAAAATTCACTGTTTAAATTTTTCAAAAAAATTCAACGCCCCCCCCTCTCCTGTATGTAGTTTTTGAAAAAACCTAACAATACTTCGTGGTTAAAGTACGCTACAGGAATTTTACCCTATTTATATATTGTAATGAACCCTTCTTCCTTGACCAAAAAATATGTGTTGCTTTGTAATTAAAATCAATAAAAATGACCAAGGTGAAACTTTATTCAATATTGTATGACAATTTTTATTAAGTATAATATTTGGATAATAATTAAGACACAAAATTGTGTAAAGTATATTATATTAAAATGACTAATGATGCAATTTTCAGAGATTGAAGATCCTCACAACTCCATGGAGAGATACCCAGAAAAAAACGTCACTTTCAACCATTGCTAATGGTGCAGTAAGACGCAGTTTTCTAAATGTTGAAGATTTTGATGATGACAAAATCCAGGAAGAGATGAGAAAAGAACAATTAGAAATTATGATTTCACCTTCTGAAAACATCAATGAAGATCCACCGCCTGAGCACGTCTAGGATTTTACAGTCGTTGTTCTGCGTGGAACTCGCTTTCACATTTATCTGTGTTAAAATAATTATTTTACTAGTAATTTAATTGTAATGCTGTTAATTTATTTTGCATATATTTTCATTTATTCAAAATAATTTACTACCCCTTTAAATTTTAAATTGGTATAATATACTTAGAATAACCTAATAAAAAATTGTATAGCAAACACAGGATTCCGTATACCAACTCGTTAGCTTTCCAGTATGCCATAAACTATATTTGTTCCAAAAACGTTTTAACGTTTCATGTCAGACAAACAATGTTCCAGAACATTATTTGAACATCCATGATCTGAAAATGTTTCTGAACATTATTTGGCGGACATGAAACGTTCTTAAACGTTTTTAAAACGAACAGGATTTTTTGCCCACTGGGTGGTATACGGAATTTTAACTCTGGTGTAATTTTAAGAAAGTGGTATACACTGACGACATTTGTAGTGCTTTAAATGAAAAAATGACTTTAACAGACATATAAAGGCAAATTTCTTGAAAAGGATAAATGCAAAATTATGATTAAATTAAAAAAATAAAAAATATTAATATGACTATTCCTATGAGAAGTCAGATTTCAAAAATTCGAAAAGGCGGATATAATATGGCTGATGAAATTTTAAAAATTGATTGTATTCGGTTGAAACTTGTTATAAGGAAGTTAAGTTACAAATTGTATAAATAATCAGTCAATAGTATTTGCAATATTTTATTTAAATAAAAGACTATCTTAAAAATGATTAATAATATTTATCATTTATTTAACATCATTCTGAATTTACTGCGGTTACGGAATGGAGTTTTCTTTGTGTTACTGAAGTCTGCTCAAATGAAAATCTCAATTATACAGTATATTTTCTTTTCTTTTATCCTAATTCGCACTGACCTATAACCGCACCATTATTCTAACTACTAACCACTCCATTGTTTCCGTAATATATTAGTTTACATTTAAAACTTGCATTTGTGACCGGATACGGAATAGAGTTTTCAATGGCGCACAAATATAATTTAATTCTTGAAAATAGAAACTGAAATAATTTGCCTTACCTCTTCTAGAATCAATTAAAAAAAAGAACAATTAATAAATATTGCTAGACAAAAGATATAATTAGATTTCAAATTATAAATAATATTTATTGTATAATGTAAATTAGTTTCATACACGGTTACAGAATAGAGTTTTTGTACCATAGGAGTATGAAAATTTTAGATAATATGAAATTTATATTTTTTTCCCTATATGATCTGATCGAATAAGGTTAATTACTATTGTATCGTCATCATTATTATTATCATTAATTTTAAGTATTTTTTAGAAAAAATGTCTTGAACGTGTTATTTGTTCTTTTCTAGCACATAACCCATAAATACAAATAATGATTAATTTAAAAAGCTACAATCATAAAAAATTGAAAATTTGAAGAAAAAAAGAGTTATTTTATTAATGACATTTTGTAATAATTGAAACTCTGATTCGTTAGTAAATCACGTTGCAATTACTTACCAACAGTAGATACAAATTTAATGCATATGTTATTTTTGTTTCTGGACCTGTATTATTATTTGTTTTTCACAAGTTTTTAATTACTTATATTTGTTGATTATCATTAATATATAAACTTCGTATTTCATTTACTTTTAAAACAAATAAACATTAAATTCATATTCAGTATCAGTAAGTAAGAGAAATATTAACGGATAAGCCATTACCAATATATCACTCTTTTTACTGCAAACAAATATAACCCTTTCGTACTTTCACGTACGCGAATTAGCGACCTTAAGGGGTTTACACCACTTTAACGGCATGAAAAAATACTCGTTTTTCAAGAATTTTTTTTTAAGAAAGGAAAATTTTTTAATAAAATAATACATAACACATAACATTATTATGCTACAATTAAAGTACAAAAAAATATTTAGAAATTTTTTTTTAATTGCCTGCGACAGCTTATTTAGCGGAGCGCTGCAAAAATCGATGGTCGTGCGGAGGCCCAGATATCTCAGTCCAGATTTGAGCTTAAATAAAAAGCCAAAAATCATTAGTTTCTGTAGCCCAAAATCTAAAGAAATACATAGCCGTTTTTAAAAATACGTATTTTTGACAAAATGGCATCGTTTTGAATAAAAAAATATGTTTTTTGGATTAAAATTCCATTACTTAAAGTTGCCCAGAAATCGTAAATAATTATATTTAAAAACTGCTACATATTTCTTTAGATTTTGGACTACAGAAATTAAAGCTTTTTGGTTTTTTATTTTAGCTTAAATCAAGACTGAATTATCTAGGCCACCGCAAGACCATCGATTTTTGAAGCGCTCCGCTAAATAAGCTGTCGCAGGCAATTAAAAAAAAATTTCTAAATATTTTTTTTCTAGTTTAATTGTAGCATATTAATGTTATGTATTTTAATTTTATTAAAAAAATTTCCTTTCTACAAAAAAAATTCTTGAAAAATGCGTATTTTTTCATGCTTTCAAAGTGGTGTAACCCCTTAAGGACCCCCGAGTGTCAAGTTTTTAGAAAATATAATCACTTATAAAATTTCTACAAAACTTGTCAGCCATATTTGATCCGTCGTTTTGAATTTTTAAAATCTGACTTTAGATTCGTAAACAGCGACCGCAAAACCATAAGAAACTAAAGTGTTGTTAAAAATTTTTGTCTAAAACATTAATGAAATGACTAAATTGTTATATAACATTTTTTAAAATTATTTTCAATGTTATACCTATTGTTATAAATAATTATACTTGAATTATGTAATTTATAATTTTTTTCACGTAGCAGTGACCATTTATAATAGAAAAAAATTTGACGCGTAGTGATATAAAAGTTTACAAACTTTATAAAAGTTACATCAAATTTTGTAAGTGTGTACATACATATATGTACCGGAGGTACGAAAGAAATAATGACAGTGGTGAGAAACCTGTGAAGCAATGGAGACAGTTGCGTCCCAGTTATTAAGAAAATAAATACATATGATTTTTCCTCCAGAAAAAATTCGCTCCTTTGCTTCTGAATACAAAATAAAATAATTTTTTTTCTTACGATTTATATTTCTTTTATAACTCTTGTTTTTCTACACTTCCTTAATTTTCATCTGTTTATACATCCGTGAAGGTAGAATGTTTCTTTACATGCGCAAAAACGTCGTTCTTCTTTTATTTTTATGAAAATATTTTTATTTTATCTAAAGTAATCAATTGAAATCAATTACATGATTTGTGTAAGATGCTTTAGTATCAAGAATATTATCTTTGATATATTTCATTTAATTATCCGTATCGCACGTTAAACTTAACTAACTTGGTGTTACTGTTTCGATTATTACGTTAGCTATAAGTAAACCATTGTGTAATAAAACTACTTAAGGGATTAGGTGGGTTTCAACTTAAAAATATTTTTTTTGCTTGAAAAAATAGTTCATTATGTCCAGAATATTATCCCAAAATTCCAATTCGAGTGGAGAAATTTTCTAAGAGATAGATCTTTCGGAAGTTCCCCCTGCGCAGTACTTCAGCCTGGCACGTCGCAAGTAAACCTGACATATTTTCCTTAGCTATTGTTTGTCTGTCTCCCTCGCTACCTCTCACCTTGTAAGGACAACTAGTTGCGAATATCTTAGTTGTTATATTGTGCCAAAATCGCTGATTTTATGTAATTTGAAACAAAAAATTTTTCTGCGTGTTATTTCACTTTAAAACTTTAATCGCATTTTTCTCGAAACGCTGTTTTTGATGTCGGTTATTACGATTTCTCGAAAAGATACAAACCGATCTTGTTCATATTTGGCACACTTCTTTAAAATAATATTCTTATAAGATAATATTTTATATATTATTTTATAATATTTTTCAATATTATCTCGTGCTTGAACAAAGGATTTTTTTAATCATAACTATTTCTACAGGCCAAAACGTGATGGAAATTTCACCAAAAAATGGCATTCTTTTTAAAACTCCGCTATAAATTAAAATTTTTTTCTTTTTTCTTCGTTCAAGTATAAAAATATTTTGTTTTTTAATTTCTGATGAATCTGCCATGACTTATGCTGATAAAGCCAAAACAACTTTTTTTAAAGGGTCTCAGAAAGTAATTAAGTAAATCTTGTATACAAATTCTCTATGTAAAGTTAACTATAGACATATCGATTCTCAATTTGTAAGTTAATACACCCAATTGCATAAATGCTGTCCATCCGGTTTGACAACACTTTGAAAAGCGTGACAGTTCTATAATAATTGTATTAATTCGTGACATATGGTGTATATCACGAATATGGTATACAGTCAACTCTATGAATATTGCCAAAGATTGAACATCTGATAAGCTTTTTCTTAGAATTGTAGTACCCCCTCTTTCAGTACATTTCTCCTCTTGCGCGATTCGATTTGCTCTTTGCAAATAGTGCCTTTTCTAAATCCAAGTTTTCAATGGATTTTGTTTATGGCACTATTCACAGAGAGAGAATCGAATTCTGAGACCGAGCGTGAGCGCCTTGATAGTCGAGAGGAGTAGGGATGACTATCGAGTGAAAATAAGGGGAAGCGGCCATGTATATTGAAATGAAATTTTGGATTAGCTTGGTAAAAATCAACTTTGATCGACTTTTTATGTTTATAAGTTTATTAAATATATCAAAAACAATCACGCACTTTTTGAAAGCGCATTTAAAAAATAATTTTTTAAATCATTTTTATTCTTCTAAAGAATCTATAATATTTATAGTTTATGAAATATTAATTATTAATAGAATAAATAATCAATAAATACAACAATTTAAATGAAAAGGAACTAATTTATTTGAAAAAGTTAAGCACTATTAGGTACATAAAATATATAAAAAGTTTAAAAATAGTTATTTGTTTAAAAAAAATAAGAAACTGCTAAAATCTGAAAAAAAACGTAAACATGAATACAAAATTTTCTTATCGACGAGGACGTTTAGTTCTGTGCTTCAGGACGACTCCATTAACGTCCTCATCGTTTTCCTGAAGCTTCGCTTTATTTGGACGGCTCCATCAGTTGCACTACATTTCTCCCAACCGAGTGCACTACATTTCCCCACGACACTTATTTCACGTCGATTACAATAACTAAGTAAATATAAAAAATATTGCCAAAATAATACCAGATTTGTATTCAGCGATAAATTTCACTTCAGAAAACACTCACCTGATTTTTTTTATATAAATTATAAACCTTTTTCAACACTGTCAGAAAAATGAAATTATTTTTGGAAAAACGCGTGTTTTTCAAATGACGCTACAGTTTTTGTGACAGGTGCATAATAACAACCGTAATGGCTGACATGAGCATGACTTATCACCACACAGCTACTATACCAACGGCAAGTAATTCGATTCATTCGCTTAGTCGGTAGAGGCGCTGCACTACATTACCCCCTTCTACTCTAATAATTATAATAAATTTGAAAATTCTTGTGCTCAGTTATGTCTAAAAATCAAACTCGTTATAATTTTATAAAAAGTGACTCGGCATGTGATAACGACACTATACATAGATGTGATCATTAGTCGATAAATACTTCGGACTTGCTCAGTTGCGTTCGGCAGATGTCGGCTGCCGAGCCGACACTGTGTCAAGACTCCCAGCGATTTCTACTAAGATTTCCTGAGATTTCGTATGAAACTTCCCGGGATTTCTATAGATTTCGAAAATTTCTTAAACTATTCCTTTAATTCTAAAATCAGGAAATCCTGATTTCTGAAGTGAATTTCCCGTCGGGTAAAGTTGACTGTACATTGGTTGCAATATCTTGTAAAATCGAGACGCTTGTATAATAATTTTATTAGATCGTGGTATATAACGTGTAACCAATGTATACACCATATGCGACGAATTAATAAAATTATTATATATGAGGCATTTTA